TTCCCTACTCTAATTATAATGTGATGAAAATTGTCCTAACTTTGTATGGAATGATAACTGTGTATGTAGAACATGGTATAAAGTTTAGAAAAAAAATAACTTTACTAGAGATTTGTCTAAGCCTTTGGAGAATAGCTAATAAAATGACCTTAAACTGTAAAGAGACAAGGGGCTGAAGAGATGGATTGCTCAATAAAGTATGTGCCTTATAGGCATGAAGGCTGGCGTTCAGATTCCCAGAATTAACATTAAAAAGCTGGACATGGCAGTGTGGTACAGGTGAAACCCAGTGCTGGAGTCTCTACAAGAGGACCCCAGAGGGCTGCTGCCCAGGTAGTCAAGACAAGTGGCAAGCTCCAGGGTTAGAGAAAGACCTAGTCAAGACAAGTGGCACGCTCCAGGGTTAGAGAAAGACCTAGTCAAGACAAGTGGCACGCTCCAGGGTTAGAGAAAGAACTAGTCAAGACAAGTGGCAAGTTCCAGGGTTAGAGAAAGACCTAGTATCAAAAAATAAGAGGATGGAAACTGAAGAGGTGGCTTCCAGATGACTGGAATTTAATTCCTAGGACCTGCATGGTGGTTGCCAACTGTTACTCCATTTGCAGAGGATCTGATGCCTTCTTCTGACCTTGGAAGGCACCAAGCATGCCTGTGGTGTACATACATACATACATACATACATACATACATACATACATACATACATGCAAGCCACTCATACACATAAAATGTGTAATTCTAAAAAGAATTAAAATTTTTAAACTAAGATGGTAATCAATTGAGGAAAACACCCAACTTTGACCTCTCATCTGCACGCATGCACACATATCCCCCCAAGCACACACAAATGGTTTAAATGGAAAAATAACTACATACAAAATATACCTAAAAGTAGAAAAAGAATTACTACTTGCAAGAACGGGTTACTAAAGTATATAAAAAATTAGTACAACAGAAGAGAAAATTCAGTAACAGGTATTAATACACAAGAACTTTAACATGTTAGGTGGTTAAATGTTTACTTAATTACTTAGAACACTAATACAGTGGGAAAAGAGTGAAACTGGGCCACTGTCTCTCATATCACATAAGATGTATTAAACGGAAGATTCCAAGGAACCATGCATACCAATGTTTTAACCAAGATTCATCAAAAATAATTAAAAAAAAAAAACACCATTTGGTTACACCAAAATACAAATTTCTGATATGGTATCATAAAAATTAAATAAAAATATATACTTTAGAAAAACTGAATATATAAAACAATTAACATACTATACAAACTGCGCGTTAAACTTAGTAAGTGAAGGCTGTGAGTGCTGCCTCCCATCGTTAATCCCAGCACTCAAAAACAAACAAAATGGCTAAAAGAAGCTGGGACATGCACACACATCTGGATCCCAGCACTCAGGAGGTTGAAGCAAGAAGGACGTGAGTTCCGGTCAGCCTGAACTCCAAGAACATAAAATGTTACCAAGAGAACCTTCAATGCATCAACTTTAAATCGGTGACTCAAAGTCAAATAAAACCAGTGAGCCACTGTTACTTGTTACAGTTTTCTGGACTAACAAGATGGCTCAGAGGTACAGGCAGTTGCTATCAAGCCAGATTATTTGAGTTTGAGCCCAGGGCACACATGGTAGGAAAGGACCAACCTCCACTAAGTCCCCCTCTGACCTCCACACACGCACTGTGGCAAACAAAGGATCCCCCACACACACATATAAAATTACAATTAAATTTTACATTTTTTCTGACTTTATAGTGCTACTGAGTGAATGTCTCCTTTTTTTCTCTTCCAACACTCATCTCTCTCTCTCTAGATTTTAATGAGTTCATTCCATCAGAACGCACTGTCTCACAACTCAAACCTTCTAAAATTCTGCTTTTATCATTATATTGATAAAAATGTTTCAATACTATCAGGTACAAATATGTATTTGTTAGACTTATTCCCAAAAACTGTCTAAAATTCAGGATTCATGTTTAAAAAGCAAAGGAAAGAAAAAGCTTTAGAATGCTAGATTTGGCAACGATTTCTTGGCTATGACACCAAACACATGGGCCACAAAAGCAAAACACAGAAAGGGGGGCCCAGTTGAGATTGAAAATGTCTGTGTCTCAAAGAAAACAATAAAAGGGCTTGAGAAGGCAACTTATGTCACGGGAAAGTCACATACATGATAAAGTGTTAATATGTACAACTTATGAAAAACTATAATCCAACAACAACGAAACAAAACAGCAACATTTTAAAAATGGGCAAAAGACAATTCCCTGTGAAAGATACCAAATGACAGTAAACACCCAAAGCATTAAATGGTGCTAAACATGCAGAGATGGGAACCTGGCACATTATGGTGGGAATGACAAATGCCAGGGTCACTGTGTGCCACGGTCACTGGGGAAACAGTTTTGCTCAAATGACCTAGCTGTGCTGCCTCTCAGTATGTATCAGAGAACCCAGAACAAGGGCTCAAAAAGACATTTACATATCATCCTCACCGCCCACACGCAGTGGGTAAGAGGTGGAGCCCGAGTGTCCACTGGATGATGAAGGAAGAGCCAAGAGTCCTTACAAACACATGGATGACTGTTGCCAGTCAGAACTGAAGGGAATTCAGACACCTGCGACAACACAGATGGCATTATGCTAAGCAGCCCCCCTGACACACACACAAATACAATACCATATCACCTCCCTTATGTGTGTCAACTCATAAGAACAAAGTAGACAGGTGGCTGCTCGAGGGGACAGGAGCTCAGTGGCTATAACATTTCAGTTTTGCAATGTGAAAAGTTTCACACATCTACTGAAGAAGACATAAATATATGTTTAAACTCCTGAACTGAATAATTAGAAATGCTTGAGGTCATGTGTTTTACCTCAGCAAAAAATTATAAGGAATACTACAATTAAGTTATATACTCAGCATGAAGTTTTGAAAACCTTAACACTTTAAAGTTTTAGCAGTAAAGTTTTAGTAAAACGTATAAAAATGAAAATAAAATCTGGATTCATCTTATACAACAGCACATGCTCTGTTTCCCTTTGGCATCCTAAGCCAGCAATCTCCTAGAGACGATGAGACAGCAAAGTAAATTCCACTTTGTTTTGATGAAATCTTACTTTGCACTTGAAAGGTCTCTCATATACCCACTTAATCCTGCCTCATTAAATGTCAAAATTACAATCATAAACACTGAGAAAACACAGTTATCAGCATTACTATTAGACATATTTTCAAGATAAATTAACACAAAACTGTTAGGATATTAATAACATGGTAGACACTTCCATGTTAGGGTTAGATGCTAACATCAAGAAGGAATTCTAACCACAGGAAACTAAAAAGCTTCTGTAAAGCAAAGGATACTGTCATCAGAACAAAACGACAGCCTACAGACTGGGAAAGGATATTCACCAACCCTATATCTGACAGAGGGCTAATATCCAGAATATATAAAGAACTCAAGAAGTTAAACAGCAACAAATTAAGTAATACAATTAAAAATGGGGTACAGAGCTAAACAGAGGATTCTCAATAGAGGAATATCGAATGGCTGAAAAACACTTAAAGAAATGCTCAACATACTTAGTCATCAGGGAAATGCAAATCAAAACGACCCTGAGATTTCACCTTACACCCATCAGAATGGCTAAGATCAAAAACTCAAGTGACAATACATGCTGGAGAGGATGTAGAGAAAGGCGAACCCTCCTCCATTGCTTGTGGGAATGTAAACTTGTACAACCACTTTAGAAATCAATCTCGTGCTTTCTCAGAAAATTAGGAATAGTGCTTCCTCAAGATCCAGCTATACTACTCCTAGGAATATATCCAAAAGATGCTCAAGTATACAACAAGGACATTTGTTCAACCATGTTCATAGCAGCTTTATTTGTAATAGCCAGGATCTGGAAACAACTCAGATATCCCTCAACTGAGGAATGGATATAGAAATTGTGGTACTTTTACACAATGGAATATTACTCAGCAGTTGAAAACAAGAAAATCATGAATGGTGGGAACTAGAAAAGATCATCCTGAGTAAGGTATCCCAGAAGCAGAAAGATACAAGTGGTATATACTCTCTTATACGTGGATATCCTTAAAATAGGATAAACATACTAAAATCTGTACACCTAAAGAAGCTAAGCAAGAAGGAAGACCCTGGGTAAGATGATCAATCCTTACTCAGAAAGGCAAATGGACAGGCATCAGAAGTGGGAGAAAACAGGAAACAGGACAGGGGCCTACCACAGAGGGCCTCTGAAACACTCTACCCAGCAGGGTATCAAAGCAGATGCTGAGACTCATAACCAAACTTTGGGCAGAGTGCAGGGAATCTTATGAAAGAAGGGGGAGACAGAAAGACCTGGAGGGGACAGGAGCTCCACAAGGAGAGCAACAGAACCAAAAAATCTGGGCACAGGGGTCTTTTCTGAGACTGATACTCCAACCAAGGACCATTCATGTGTAGATAACCTAGAACCCCAGTTCAGATTGTAGCCTATGGGAGTTCAGTCAACCAAGTGGATCCCCTAGTAAGGGAAACAGGGGCTATCTCTGACATGAACTCAGTGCCAGGTTCTTTGATCACCTCCCATTGAGCAGGGGGCAGCCTTGGCAGGCCACAGAGGAAGACAGTGCAGCCAGTCCTGATGATACCTGATAGGCTAGGGTCAGATGGAAGGGGAGGAGGACCTCCCCTATCAGTGGACTAGGGCAGGGGCATGGGAGGAGAAGAGGGAGGAGAGTGGGATTGGAAGGGGATGAGGGAGGGGGCTACAGCTGGGATACAAAGTGAATAAATTGTAATTAACAAGAATAAATAAATTAAAAAAGAAAATGAAAAGGATAGCCGTATATATGAATTACTTGTGTAAATGATCCTGAACCTCAAGTTCAAATATGTCTCATATGACTATAGAATAAAGCACAATGTAATTTGTTGGAAAAACAAAAAACAAAAGAAGAAGGAATTCTCTTTACCTAGTGCCTCCTTCTGCAGATCAAAGCACCTGGACTGCAAGTTTGCTTCATGTTGTTTGGATGCCTGCATCTGCTGAGTCCTTAACATGGCTGCATCCGACAACAATTTGAGATTTTTCACTTCCTCTTCGAGGCATGAGTTATTTCTCTGGCACACTGTTAGACTTTTATTTAGCATATCTATTTCTGTAAAGAAAATTCAAAGTTTATAAACAGAAGACATTAAATCACATTTGTCTAAAAATTGATTTTCGGTTAGAAAATATGTGAAAATAAGATGATGTTTCTGAGAATACGACACCTGGCCAAAAGTTAGAATTACATTCACTAACAATTCTGAAAAGAAGAAGAAAAATGGCTGGATGGATAAACAATGTATCTTTTTTCTTAGCCTGAAATCATACCAAATAATAATACAGACTGTGTTTACATTCTCATGTAACTGCGAACGGTATAATGCCTGTGGAGTGCCCTGTGATTTGTTGGAATGGTATGACACACAAAGTCAATTTAAATGCACAGCAGTAACTGGTTGGGTAGCATTTCTAAGACAGAAACTAGCCTAATTCTCAGTGGTAAGCATGAAGAGGATCGGAAGAATGAAACATTTAAAACGAGCAAACTGTGGGCATAAAGTATTTAATACTCAACAAATATATTTTAATGATTCTAATAATAGTGTTTCCTAGAGTGAAACCACAACTTATTGTAGTAATTCAATGTCATTACTCTCTTTCCATATAATTCTTAAATGGCTTTTTACAGTTCTACTTACATTTCAATGTGCTAATTTCATATAGCTTCCTGGAAAATGCACAGAGCACATGATCCATCAAAATAATTATCAAGTTTTCCCTCACCAAAGTCTTCAATACTGCCAACAGAAGCCACCACTAAGGTAGCAAACATGCAATAAAGAACGTGTCCATTGTACAACTGCAACTAATTATATTGATGAGGATGTGGCCTATCTGAGTCTCTGGACAGTTTTCCAGGAGGTCTACCTGCTGCTGCCTTCTCTGGCTAGCCTAAGTGGTATGGTGGGTTCAGGTGTGACTGGGTATCTCAACATGTTGGCTTGCTTTATTGTTCCTGGGGGCTGCCACATCTGCACATGGAGGAAAAGTCAAAGTGGAAACCCACAGGCAGACCTGGGAGCAGAGGCAGTAAGGCCAGCAGATGATGACAGCAGGGCACAGGCAAGAGAGAATGTCCTAAAGGATGGTGCAGGAATGTAGTCCAGCCAGGCGATGTTAACACCTTTAAACCCAGCACTTGAGAGGGCAGCGTACGCAGATGTTTGTGAATTCAAGGACAGCCTGCTCTGCAGAGCAAGTTCCAGGCCAGCGAGAGGAGACACAGTGACCTCGTGAGATGAGAGATAGTAAGAGAATGACGGTGAGAAAGAAAGCAAGGGCGTAAGTGAGAGAGAGCAGGAGTACACGATCCAAACAAAGGCAGAAAACGAAAGGCTCTTTAGATGGCTAAAAGGCATGTCTGGGAGAAAAAAAAAAGTGACATTAAACCCTGCCCTGAGGGGTTGAGAAGAGGCCCTGATAGCTCTTTTCTTTTAGTTCCTTTTCAACCTCTCAAATAGAAAACCCAATGAATTGCTGGGATCAGATGCGTGCTTCCACTGCGGTGCAACATTCCACGGCATTTCCCCCACTGAGAGTAGCTAATGTGCTTGTAAAAATTGTGACTGTGAGTCTTGTTTCTGTGAGAGTAATGACCAGCACGCTAGTAATATGAAGCTTAAAAAAAAATACAGCTTGCCAAAGTGAGATAAGTAAAAATGTTCCCTGGGTGTTTTCAGAGCCGTAATGGCTGCCTCCTATGTCTGAATACAGTGTCCCGTACTGTAACATCTGCCCATGCTCAAGTCACAATGACACTGCAGAGTAGGACACACATGCTGCCACCTATTTATCATCTGCCAAAGTGATTCTGCTTTGGCTTGGCTGCTGCTTCTGTTAGTGAACACTATTGTTTCTAAAATAGCTAATGTCAATGTGACTTTCTATCTGACATTAAGAGGCAGAATCCTCCAGACAAGTTTATTTGTGAAATATAGTCTATTTCCATGTATTCATGGAAAAGTACAGCAAAATTTCTGAACTAATGGGAACTAAAACACTTTCAAAATGGTATTAGGAAAGTAAACTCAGTGAAGGTGAGTTAACTCCACCACGATGAGGTAATGTGCCTCCATCAGTTGATCGTGGTGTTTACATACAATTCCACATTTTGCCATTATATACTTTTGCACTTGCCAGATATTTGTCCCAATCTGGGGTTTAGAATTATCGCCCCTACCAGCCCAACCTATACTTGTTGCTGGGCCCAACTCTGCGGCTTCTGTTTGAGCACAACCTTAAGAAATAATCCCATCCTTACACATTGGTCCTGACATAGCTCACGTGCTAGCCCACCACAGAAGCCTTTTCTGAGCTAACCTACATATTTCACCCCAACTTGCACACTCGCTTTGCACTGATCACAATTTAGGCCAGAGATAACATCTTATTCCCCTGTAGTTTCCCCCATCATGCTTCAGAAATAACAGGAGCTGTTATATGCAGAAAGGCTTCTAGTAGAGCTTCTAAACGGTTCCTAATCTGTTAGTTCTGAACATCCTGAATAAGTGTTTGCTTCAGTGTCATTTTGGAGGCAGGCATTTGGAGCTAGATATGCTTTTAATGCCAAACTAGGTTAGACAATTTAAAACATCCCCCCTAAAGACCTTTCAGCAATAGAATCAAACATGCTCACTTTACTCTTAGTTTCATCTTATTTATTTATATTAAAAGTGTGAACTCTAACATAATTTTGTACTTGATTTCTAAAATGTCAAGAGATTCAGTAGTGGTGGTGCTGGCACAGGCCTTTAATCCCAGTACTTAGGAGGCCGAGGCAGGAGGATCTCTATGAGTTCAAGGCCAGCCTGGTCTATGGAGATAGTTTCAGGACAGCCAGTGTTACACAGAGAAACCCAGTCTTAAAACACAAAAAGGAGACAGAGGCAGAGACAGAGACAGAGAGACTCAGAGGGGAGTTGCAGCTTGGTGGTCGGATGCCTGCACCTATGTGTGAGGCCTTGGGTCCGATTCCTAGCATTAACCACCAACAAGAGTCATTAGCTAAAGCAAGTACTAGTTAATTTCTTTACCTTATTAAGATTTATTTCTGTTCTATGTAGTCCTGAGCTTAGACAAGTGAATGTACAGTTATATTGGGTCATTATGCCATTATAAGAGCTCCATACACTTATTATCAGGGAATTTCAATGTTACACTCACTGTAACATTCAGCGTTAACAATTTCAGTGTTAATTCACGTAACTTTAACTTTAGTACAGTAATAGGAAAGGCCCTTAAAAACTGTAGGTATTAAATGAAGGAATTAAAAAACATTACATTGATTCTTTTAAAGAACCCTTTTATTTTGAAATAAATAGTTTACAGAAAGTTACAAATAGATGTCTAAAGAGGCTCCATTTCTCCTTCCCTCTCCTCTCCAGAGAGGCTGCTAGATTTAACCAGCTGTGCACAAACTCATTGATGTGTGTGTGCTTGCTCTATGCCATCTTGGCACAAGCGCTCTCACTTGCTTCCTAGTGCTGTGATAAACACCCTTACAAAAGCATCTCGGAGAGGAAAAGGCATGTTTCAGATCACAGCTTACAGCGCACCATCAGAGTAAGTCAGGGCGGGAGCGCAGGCACAAACCTGGACACGGCAAGTGAGGCAGAAGTCATGGAGGAATGGTCTTTACTGCTTGCTCCTCGTAATTTGAAGAGCTCGCCCTGCTTTCCCATACAACCCAGGACCACTGCCCCAGGAGTGGTAGTGTCCACGTGGGGCCGGGCCTCCCCCACCAGCCAACAATCAAGGAAATGACCTCACACACTTGGCTTCAGGCCAGTCTGATGAGAGCAATTTCTCAGCTGAGGTTCTTTTCCCAGGTGACTCTCTAGTTGTGTCACGTTGACACAACAACCAAAAAACCCTGACTAGGACATGTAGCGTCATATCGTCACGACCATAAGCAAAACATGGAATCCCAGACCACCAGGCTCATTTATGCTGTTTACAGCAAGATCATTCTCCATCCCACCAGTGACAGTCCTCAATAACTACTCCTTTTTGCTTATACCTACAATGGCCTTATGTCAAGACTGCTATATAAGTCAAACACTAAAGATTTTCAAGATTGAACCACTTTCTGATTGGATTTAAGCCCAATCCACAATACAGAATTCATGCCTTGTACCATTAACAGAGCCAAAAATCCATGTCTGGTTATCCACCCTATGGCAGAGTCTACTAATATTCTTCTGCTAAACTGTTGCAGGAATGTACTATTCCTATGTTCTATGTGCCGTCTCTCAACCTTCATCAGAGAAGCTTCGGACGGTGAGTTATACAGAGAGCCAAAGCCGGGCAGTGTGCAGAGAATAAGAGAATGGACAGCTCAGCTCTACGCAGGACATCTCTGTCATATTCCCTCTCGCAAAAGCCCAGGAATCATAACAGAAGAAGAGGTTGAAAAATTATGAGAGCTGGAGTTATTTGCCAGACACAAGGCCTTGGTACACATGATCTCACAGTGGCTGTGACTCCGTATGCAAGATCAAGCCAAATAAAAGCCCAGCATGAATGAGAAAGGGACCAATCAAGTCCCATCCTAGCTGGAGAGCTGTTGGCAACTGTTTGTCGTTGTGGGAGGGAGCCTCGGTTTTTAGGGATTTGGCCCCCAAGAGACAACCCAGGTTCCAGGAGACAGTCCCATGCCCAAGCATACACAGGCAGCACTAAGCAGACTCAGTGGCCTTGGAAAAAAAAAAGTATCTGAAGTTGGAAAAGAAAAGTGGTGAGGAGGATAGCAGAGGGCTGGAGAGTCATTTGATCAAAACACATTTGATGAGTTATAAATTTTTCAAACAATAAAAAAGGAAAACCCTTATGAAAAGATCTGAAATGGCTTTTTTTTAACTTGGAAATATTTCCTTAATGTGATTTCAAGTTATTGCTTGTATTAATAATTATTTCCGTTTGTTGCTGACTTGGATTATATAGAATGGTATAGCTCTGTTTGTCCGTCACCCATGGAAAAGTATCTGGACTCTTTCCAGTTGTGAGCAATTATGACAAAAGCTGTTACAAACAATTAAATACAGGTAGCAT